GAGTGTGGTGGGGAGATGGGGTGTGTGGGTGTGTGTGTGTGTGTGTGTGTGTTTGTTCTGGTCCATAAAGCCCTGTGCCAGCTACTCTGATGAGTAACAATTCTGCAATTCTGGCACTGAACCACTCCCCAGGCCCATTCCCCCCCCCCCAAAAAAAAACCCCAAGGATTTAAGTTGGGACCTCCTGCCCACAAACAATGTTGTCTTCCCCTCAGCTGTGGTTTCATCTCCCAAATTCATTCCAGCAATAGAGCAAGAGTCCCCAACCGTTTAGAGCCTGTGAGGCACCTTTGCAATTCTGACAAAATGTGGTGGGTGCCACCAGAAAATGGCTGCTGCAAGAGGCGGTGACAGAAATGGCGGATACGCCACACCTTCAGACCCAGAGCGAAGATCCCTGTGCTGTGGGGGGCAGCTGACGTGAAAGCAACTTCTAAGGGGGGGAAAATCTGCAGAGCCAAACGAATCTCCAGGAGCCAATTAGATGCCTTGCTGGGCAAAACCCCCACTTTCTAAACCCCCCTGGCTACAGGCACCCCACTGGGGACGCCTGCAATGCAACACAGCAAAGCTGACCTACCTGTGTCTCAAAGAGCTGGTCGTAAGCTGCAATCAGCTGGTCCTTGCTAGCCGTCTTGGCTACATTCTTTATCTGCCCGAGTAACTTGTGCTGTGCAAGGAACTGGAAGCAAAACCCAGAGAGGGTTAGAGCAACGCCCTCCCCCAAGACACAAACACAAGAGCAAGAGTCCAGGGGCACCTTAAAGGGTGACAAAATTTGAGGCAAGGGGGGAGCTTGCATGAGTCTAACCGAATGGGTGGAAATGACAAGGGAGTCGTTACCGGCTAAATATCAGGAGAAACTTCCCTGTCAGAGTGGTTGAGCAGTGGGACAGACTGCCTCGGGAGGTGGCGGATGCTCCTTCGCTGGACGTTTTCAAGCGGAGGCTGGACGACCATCTTTCGGGTATGTTGTAGGGCTCTCTTTCGGCTATGCTCCTGCAGAGTGCAGGGGGCTGGGCTAGATGACCTGCAAGGTCCCTTCCAACTCTTAACATTCTGTGATTCTATGAGTCAGGGCTCACTTCTGCAGATCTGAATAAAGTGAGCAGTGTCTCTCACAAGCTCCTTCCTCTGCCACATATTTTGTCAGTCTTTAAGGTGCTGCTGGACTCTTGGTCATTTCTACTGCTACAGGCAGACTAACAGGGCCGCCCGTCTTGATCTATGTGATCTATGAGCAGGGACTCATGAAAGCTCCTCCACTGCCACAACTTTTGCCAGTCCTTAGGGAGTCAGTGGACTCTGGCTCTTTTCTACTGCGGCAGACAGACTAACAGGGCCCAACTATCTTAAACCTTCGACAACATACGGCCACCCATCTTAAACACAGAGAAGATTCACTTCTTCTGCAAAGTTGTCGGGGGAATGGAAGGTGGCAGCCGCATTCACACATCCAAAGAAACCTTGGCTTGCCCATGAGGACTACACAGGCCTCCTGCGCATGCCTCCCCCCCCCGAATCGCGCTCCAGTCTCTGCAAGCGCGTCTGAATGCTCGCAGGCACCCGTGGCTAGCCCGAGTTGGCTTCCTCCTCAGCACAAACCCCGGTCCCTAAACTTGGATCCCAATCCAGGTTTCTGGAAGGGCGGGGGGGAGACTGAGACCCAAGGTCCATTCTTTTCATGGGTGCCTCCGAATGGGAACCGGATTTGAAACCTCCCCGAATAAGGAAGTCCTGAGCCGTTCTCCCCGCCTAAGAGGAGAGGGCAGGGTTGCTAACCTCCAGGTGAGGCCTGGGAATCTCCCTCTTTTAGAAGAAGAAGAGAAGAGATTGGATCTATACCCCACCCTTCACTACCCGAAGGAGTCTCAGAGGGGCTTACGAACTCCTTTCCCTCCCCCTCCCCACAACAGACACCCTGTGAGGTAGGTGGGGCTGAGAGAGCTCTTGACAGAAACTGCTCTTTTTCAAGGACAGCTCTTGTCAGAACTGTGGCTTGCCCAAGGTCATCCAGCCAGGGGCAAGTGGAGGAGGAGTGGGGGAATCAAACCCGGTTCGCCCAGATTAGAGTCCGCACAAAGAAGTCGAAGAGGAGTAGTAGTAGTAGTTTGGATTTATACCCTGCCCTTCACTTAGAGAGCCTCAGAGCGGCTTACAAACTCCTTTCCCTTCCCCTTCCCACAACAGACACCCTGTGAGGTAGGTGGGGCTGAGAGAGCTCTTGACAGAAACTGCTCTTTTTCAAGGACAGCTCTTGTCAGAACTGTGGCTTGCCCAAGGTCATCCAGCCAGGGGCAAGTGGAGGAGTGGGGAATCCAACCCGGTTCTCACAGATTAAAATCTGCGCACTTAACCAGGACACCAAACTGGCTTACAACTGACAGAGAGCGGCTGCCCTGGAGGAAATGGCTGCTTTGGAGGGCGGGCTCTGTGGCATCCTACCATGCGGAGGCCCCTCCCCTCCCCAAACCCCGCCCTCTCCCGGCTCCACCCCCCACAGTCTCCAGGTCTTTCCCAACCCAGACACCACCTGGCCACCCTGGGGGGGGAGAGAGAGGGAGGGAGGGAGAGAGGACAAAACTGTGAGTTGGGTGAAGGTGGAGCATTTCGTGGTGCAGGGCATCTCTCTGAGGAGCTGGTGGTTAGTGGGCCCTTTGCCATACAGGCAACATCTTTGCCCTACAAAGATCACATCTGAAAACAAAGCCAGGTAGTGCTGCCCCTGAGATTCCTCTAAATATTTTTAGAATGTCTAAAGAAAGAAAGGAAGTGCATTTATTGATGATCCAGGGATTGGTAGCTGAGTTGGATCAATGTTCACATTTATGGCTGAGTCATCTATTATGATTAAATATGTCGTGGGCCGCCTGCTCCTGCAGGAAGCGGATGATCTCTCGCTTGGGCAGCGCGTCGCTCCGCAGCTCCTCGGGGCTCCAGGGCCGCGCGGGGGCCGCCATGGCATCGCCGCGCACGCGGACGGACAGAGGGAAAGGGGCGGCCGCGCTTCAAGTTCCCCTCACGCCCGTCCTACGTCCCCCAGCGTCCCGCGCGCGCTCCCGTCCGTAGCCGGCCTTCGCCTGAGTCCCGCGTGGCATCCTGGGTAGTGTAGTCCCTGCCGCATTCCGAGCTCAAGCATGCCGGGTAATGTGGTCCGGGGAGGCCTATGTGAAAAACCGTCTCTCGGTCGCGGACCCTTTTATTAAATAAAATTTAAAAAACGCCTTTCTCATACTGAAGGTGAGCTTCGAGACTGACAATGACGTAAACAGTAAAAGAGTCCAATGGGCGTGTGCACCGACCCCCTAGCCACCCTCCGCACAGCCCTCTGGGAAACGTAGTCCTCTTTGCGATTCCTGTCAGAGCTCCTCTAGGCTGTCCCGGGGCGGGGGGGGGGGGGGTGAGGAGGGCGTGCGTGCACGTGACAGCCCCCTTTTTTTTAAAAAAAAGGCCTTTCTCATACTGAAGGTGAGCTTCGAGACTGACAACGACATAGACACGAAAAGGTTCCAACGAGCGTGCACGGACCCCTAGCCCACCCACCGCACAGCCCTCTGGGAAACGTAGTCCTTCTCTTTGCGATCCCTGTGGGCGCTCCTCTGGGCTGTCCCGGAGGGGAGGATGTGCACGTGACAGCGCCCCCCCTTTCTCATACAGAAGGTGAGCTTAGATACTGACGACGAACTAAACACCGAAAGGTTCCAACGAGCGTGCGCAGAGGTACTCCCCCACCACACCAGCCACCCTCCGCACAGCCCCCTGGGAAACGTAGTCCTTCTCTTTGCGATTCCTCTCAGGCCTCCTCTGGGCTGTCACGGGGTGTGTGTCTGTGTGCACGTGACAGCGCCCCCTCTCCGCAGCGGGCCAATCGGGGGTGTCCTCGGCCCCGACGGCGGGGGTCGATTGGACGGCGCGTTCACGTGACGCCGCGCGGGCGAGCCAATGAGGGCGCGGCGCGGCGCCATGGCGGGGCTTTCAATGGCGGTCGGGCGCCGGTGAAGGAGGGAGGGATGCGGCCGGCGTCGGCGGGGGGTCCCCGTCAGGCGACGCT